CAAAAAAAAAAAAAAAAAAAGAAAGTTAAAAAATGTACGATGACAATGTGTCAACTAAAAAGAAATAAAAATTCAAACAAAAACAAAGAAAAAAAAGAAAGAAAAAGAAAGAAAGAAAGAAAGAAAGAAAGAAAGAAAGAAAGAAAGAAAAAACCTAGCTCCCTTCCCCACACCAAATTGGAAGAAACAAAATTATTCTCAAAAGAGAATGAATGCCCTGTTCTTCCTTAAGAAACTATTTTAATGAATATTTTTAGTAAGCATGACAAGATTCCACAGCTTGGTCTGAGAAGGAAAAGTTAAAATGTAAGGTGTTAAACCGTTCTCTGAATTAAAGTGTGCAGGTGTCCCCAGGGGGTAAGGTCATCGATCTACATTGTCTTTCTCTGGTCTGGGGCAGGATGGTAGAGGGAAAACACGGGAAGAGGAATTCTATTGTTGGAGAAATATTGGGACAAAAGGAGAAACAGTTCAATAAGGAATTCTTGTGATCAGGGATGAACATAAAATTTAGCAGCAGAGATGTATAATTTTTCTCCTAGATTCTCTATTGATTGTACCTGTGGGTAAGTTGGTAAGCTCTTAAAAACTTCGGTGTTCTTCTCTGTAAAATAAAGAAAATACTTAAGTTATTTTTTGTGAAGTTTGGATGAGGAAAAGCACTAGACCAAGTCACACAATTTATTGTGACCAAAGGGAGGTAACTGAAGGTGGGTGAGAAGATCTCAGGAATGCATCATGTAAACTGCACGGTAGAGGGCCTTGCCACAGTATTCACTTGAAAATCGAACTAATAAATAAGCTTATATCTTCTCTGAAATTTCCAGATTAGGCAAGTTATCCAGGATGGTGTGGGGAAACCAGACCTTCAACTCTGTTTTCATCCTGCTGGGAATCTTTGATCACAGCCCCACCCATATCTTCCTCTTCTGTCTGGTCCTGGGCATCTTCTCAGTGGCCTTCATGGGAAACATTTCCATGGTTCTCCTCATCTGCCTGGACCCCCAGCTCCACACCCCCATGTACTTCCTCCTCAGCCACCTGTCCCTCATGGACCTCATGCTTATCTGCACCACCATACCCAAGATGGCCTTCAACTACTTGTCCAGCAGGAAATCCATCTCTCTGGCAGGTTGTGGAACCCAGATATTCTTCTATGTGTCCCTGCTTGGAGCGGAATGCTTCTTGTTGGCTGTCATGGCTTATGACCGCTATGTGGCTATATGTCACCCTCTTCGGTACACCATCCTCATGAATCAGAAACTCTGTGTCCTCATGACTGTTGCCTGCTGGATCTTGGGCTCTCTTGACGGCATCATTGTGCTTGCAGCTGCCCTGTCATTCTCTTACTGCAGCTCTCTGGAAATTCATCACTTTTTCTGTGATGTTGCTGCCCTTTTACCTCTATCCTGCACAGACACGTCTGCCTTTGAAAGACTGCTTTTCATCTGTTGTGTGGTGATGCTTATCTTCCCAGTCTCAGCCATCATCGTCTCCTATTCCCGTGTCCTTCGAGCTGTCATCCGTATGGGCTCTGGGGAGAGTTGCCGCAAAGCCTTCACCACGTGCTCTTCCCACCTGTCTGTGGTCGGGCTCTACTATGGTGCCGCCATATTCATGTACATGAGACCAGCCTCGACCCACACGCCAGACCAGGACATGATGGTGTCAGCCTTCTATGCCATCCTCACCCCCATGCTGAACCCGCTCATCTACAGCCTCCACAACAAAGAGGTATCCAGGGCACTTAAGAAGCTGTTGAGGAAAGGAAAGTTAATATAACTTTATCAAAAATCTTTTGAGTGCACACTCTCCCTGGTCAGAACGTCTTCAAAGAAACTAGAATCAATAGCATTATTCTATTCCTGCTAGTTTGTCTTTTAGCCATTTTTTAAAATTTTAAAATATCATTAGTATATTATTAAATACACATCATGGGTAAAGTGGGCTGAATTAGGACATTAGCATAGGCTGTTTATCTCTGTGCATGCAATTCTATCATTGGCTGTTAGCCACAAATGCTGCCTGACTTCAGGATGCTTGCCTTTGAAGCCAGGTGTAAGTCTGAAGGTTCTTTGCTTGATCAAAGAACAAGGATGGGAGTTGATCCTCTGCTTTTGGAGAGATGCCTCTTTGTTCATAGATCACTTACCCATCAGTACTTGTCTTTGGTATCACCAGTCCTTAAGCCTGGTATTGACTAGTTTAATCCTGATTCTTTTCCACTTAATTCCTGAGTATTTAGAAATGGGGGGTTAGTGTTGGCACTTTCTTCAATCAATCAATCTTTATGTCTATATAAAATATCACTTAGAAATTCACATATTTATATATAGAAAACCTTTATATTAAAAGTCAATGTTTTAATGAGTCCAGATAAAGTATCTATTTGGTTTGGCTGCACAACCATCATCTTTATTATGACTGCTTTTATTTCTCACTCATCCTTATATTAATAACCAGAATCTATCTGGAGAAGTTAGAGAACCCTAACTTCCTGGAGTTTCTAACTATGGTTTTATATACAACTCTGAAGAAAATAATTTCCTATAAACTATCTCACAAAACTCCCAGAAGTTTTCTCAAAGAAGGCCTGTGGTCTATAATGTCCACAACAATTGTTTTAAAGTTTTGTGAGATATCCACGCTTTGATAAAATTTTGATGTACTTCAATTGTTATTAATTCATTGCAATCTGCATGTCTAAATCCTCTGCATTCTTGAGAACTGAAGGCAATCATTGCATGCTTCATGAAGCTTGCCTTGATTTTTGTGTATATATTTTTAATGCAGTCTTTATTGTGTCATATTTTATTTCTCTAAATGCATTTTTTTTACTAAACCTGAATTTTATACTTTAATGACATAACCATGAGTTGTAATCAATTTCATCCCTTAGGGCACTACAAATTATTTTGGGACAAGTAGAATATTCTCAATACTTTTTTGTTTTTGGATAAAATCTATATATTATAAAATTGAGCATTTTACGGTGAACAATTCAGTGGACTTTTGTATATTCACAGATTTGTGCAAATACCAACATTAATTACAAACATTTTTATCACTCCGAAAGGAAAATTCACATCCACTAGCAGTGATTCCCTATTCCTGCCTCCCTCCCCCGGCCCCTGTAATCATTACCTTGTGTCTCTATAGAGTTGCCTATTTTGGACATTGCACATAAATGGACTCATAATATGTGATCTTTTGTGCCTCTTTTCACTAAGCGTACGTAATGTTGTCAAGTTCCTTGTTGAAGTGCGTATTAGCACTTCATTCTTTTCTACACATGAATAATATTCCTTTGTAAGATTGTGCCGCATTTTGTGTATTTACTCAACAGCTGATGGGTGTTTGGGGTGTTTCTACCTTTTGGTTATTATGAATAATGCTACTACAAACGTTCGTATACAAAGCTTTGTGTGGACACAGGCTTTCAGATCTCTTGGGTGTATAACTAAGAAGAGTAGAATTGCTCAGTCATGGTAACTGTTTCATATTTTGAGGAGCTTTCAAACTGATTTCTACAGTGGCTGCAAAATTTTACATTTCCACCAGCAACATAGGAGGGTTTCAGTTTCTCCCATTCTCACCAACTCTTGTTATTTTCCAACTTTTAGATTACAGCTATTCTGATGAGAGTGAAGTTGTATCTCATTGTGGTTTTGATTTGTATTTCCCAAAAGACTAATGACATTGGGCATCTTTTCGTATTAGTCATCTTTGCTTACTAGTTATTTGTTTATCTTCTTTGAAGGAATGTCTACTCAGATCCATTTAAATTGGGTTGCTTTTTGTTATTGAATTCTTTATATCTTATGGACATTAGACTCTTATAAGATATATGATTTGTAAATATTTTCTCCCATTCACTGAGTTGTCTTTTCACCTACTGATACTGTCTTTTGAATTATAAAAGTTTATAATTTTGATTGAGTACCATTTATGATTTTTTCTAATTAGGGTTTTGGTGCTATACCTAAGAAATCATTGTCTAATCCAAGATCAGAAAGATTTATGCATATCTTTTTCTTTTAAGAGTACTATAGCTTTAGTTCTTATATTTGTGTCATTGATCCATTTTGAGGTCATTTTTGTCTGTGGTGTGAGATAAGTGTTCAAATCTATTTTTTTGCATGCGGATATTCATTTGTCATTCATTTTCATTTATTGAAAAGCCTATGCTTTCTCTATTGAATTGTTTTTGTACCCTTGTCAAAAATCAGTTGAACCTACATGCATATATTTTTTTCTAGACTTTGGATTCCATTTCATGGATCAATATATATATTTTATGTTATTTACTATCTTGAATATTGTAGTTTACCAGTAATTTTGAATTTGGGAAGTGTTAGTCCTCCGACTTTGTTATTCTTGGTGATCTGTCTCAGCTATTGTGGGTCTCTTGAATTTCCACATAAATGTTAGAATTGGCTTGTCAATTTCTGAAAAAATGACAGCTGGGATTTTTAAAGGGATGGTGTTCCATCTATAGATCAATTTTGGGGGCATTTCCATTTTCGCAATAAATCTTTCAATTCATACATACAGGATAACTTCACATTTCTTTCTTTCTTTGAACATTTTGTAGCTTTGGGGTATACAAATCTTATATTATTATTTAAACTTACTTATAAGAATTTTATTCTTTCTGATGCTATCATAAATGGGCTTATTTTTCTAATTTCATTGATTGTTCATTGCTAGTCGTAATGTTATTTTTGACATGCAGATGATTCTATATTTGTTGATTTTTTTATTTGTTGATATTTTTGTCCTATGTTTATTTCTCTGCCTCCCTTTGTGCCTTTTCTATAGTTTTATGATCATCTTTATGAAGATAATTTCTTCCGTAATTATATAATTCAATATTAACCCATTATTATTTACTTCCATATCTGTATTTTTACACTTTGTGTCTATGAAGTCACCTGACAGGCTCTCCTTGGGAATCCTCACTTGGGATAATGTGGGATACCATGCCTTCTTATACAGACATCTTTTTGGCTTTCCTGATAAATATGCTTTGAAGAATAGAGTAGTCCCCCCTTATCCAAAGTTTTGCTTTATACAGTTTCAGTTACCCACAGTCAACTATGATCCAAAAGTATTCACATTTTTTGATAGCTTGAGCAAGAGCAAAACCCCGTCTCTACAAAAAAAGAGAAAAATTAGCTGGGTTTGGTGGTGCACACACCTGTAGTCCCAGCTACTAGGGAGGCTGAGGCAGGAGGATCACTTGAGCCCAGTATTTGAGGTTGCACTGAGCCATGATGACACCAGTGCTCTCTAGTGCAGGCCTCAGAGTAAGAGTCTGTCTCAAAAAAAAAAAAGAAGATATTTTGAGAGAGAGAGAGAGACCACCTTCACATAACTTTTATTACAGTATATTACTGTAACTGTTCTATTTTATTATTAGTTATTGTTAATCTCTTATCATGCCTAATTTTAAAATAAAACCTTATCATAATTATGTATGCATAGGAAAAACATAGTATATATAGGGTTCGGTACTATCTGCACTTTCAGTCATGCACTGAAGGTCTCAGAACATATGACCTGCAAATAAGAGGGTGACACTGTAATCCTTCAGGCATTCCAGAAATATTTAGATAATTCCTGCTTCAAGCTTTGCCTAATTTCTTTGTCTATGAAAGCAAAAATTGTACTTAAGTATTTAATTTTTTCTTGACTATTATATAATAAGACAAAAACTCTGCATTCAGAGGGCATGTGCTCACTTCTCAGTTGTGTCGCTCAATGCATAAGAAAGGATAAATTATACCTTCATACTTTGATTTCTATATCTGATCGATGGAACAAGAAATAATAATAATAGTATAACTGTGAGCAGTAAATTACTTTATGCATGTGAGGCACTTTCAACAGTCTCTGGCACACAAGAAGGATTTGGCAAAAATAAGGTTGTATTATTGCAGAGCCTAAAATAAATTGCTATTCTTGTTTTGTCTGTGTGTATATACATATATCACACACACATATATACATACTTATATATGTTATTAATTTTATGCACATATATGCACACAAACCTAGGAAAAGAAGAACATATATTTTATTTTTATTAGTGTTTTTGTCCCCATCAATTAAATCATTACATTTTTAGTTTTCATAACCCACTTTTTCCTAAGTGGTACAGTTATTTTTATTCTGTAGGTAAAATGTATCCATATGGCATATTTATGCCTCATTTACATATTTTCTGAATGGAAATCAATTTGTGCTAGCTAAAACACTGCCTTTTCAGTTGTTGCTCATTTGGTTTTCAATTATGGTTATTTATAATTCATCAGAAATAATATGTGGGATCTTCATCCTTTTTAGTCATTTTCATTTCTATTCATTAATTCAATGAATATTTATTGAATGCAAACTATATAATAAACAATGTACACTTTTAAGGAGGTTAATTAGCACTGCATAGTGTCTAATTTCAAGAAGTTTGTCTTTAAGTAAGAGAGAAATAAGTAGATGCAGATGAATTACAATGCATTTTTAAAGGCTGTGATAAGCATAACAATAAGGTGGCCACCCCAGATTTCCCACGCAAACTCCAGGGACTGAGAATGTTATGGATGTTACATCTGCAGTTGGTATAGTACATGGCCAAAAGGAATTCTGCCGATGGAATTGAGGTTATAAGTCAGTGACCTGGCTGGTAATAAGAGGGGAAGGCAGGGAAATGTGAATCATGAGAAAGGTTTGGCATGCCACTGCTGGCTTTGAAGATGGAGGGAGCCATTTGCAAGCAGCAAACA